CCTGCCCTGCGTTCCCTCCCACTTCTTATTTTTAGCCCCAGTCTGAAGTCGGTCTGGTTGGCCCGCCTCTCCCAGGCGCAGGAGGAAAGGAAACCGGCCTCTTCCTCCAGCCGACTCGTTGCTCCCAGCAACCAGGCACAAACAGGCTGCCGCTTCCATATCTGGCCTGGGACCCGCAGGGGACAGTGACTCAGTGGGTGGCAGCGCGGCCCCAGTGGGTGCCCACCAGTCCCTCGGTGGTTGGTGCAGCTTCTGCCTAAACCCACCGGCCTGGCCTGGCCTGGGGGACCCCGGCTGGGCACCGGCCGGGCCCAGCGTCCTCTTCCCTCCCTCCTCTCCTGCACTCCCCTTTCCACCCGCACCTCTCCTCTCTCCTCTTCCTGCGTGGCGGGCCACATGGAGGATGCAGGAGAGGCCTGGGCAGGATTTGGGGAACCAGGGTCTCCCCTGTGAGCACTAGAGGATTTCCACCCCTGCCCTGGTATTGTCTGCCTGGGCATGAGTCACCTGAGGAGCCTCCCCCTTCCCACGCCAGGCTGCCTCACCCTTCCTCCCTGCCGCCGGCTTCCCTGCCACGGTGCTCGGCACGTGCGGGCCTTCCAATGCGTCCCAGGCCGCTCCTGCCAAGGAGACGGTGGTCGGTGGTTGGTGCTCCCCGGGGCTGCGTCAGGGCCATGGTGACAGTGGCTTCGTCCCCACACATGGGAGCTCCCCGGCCTGCCTGAGGAAACCGCAGAGGCTCTTCCTGCCTCCTCGGCTCTCTGGCCTCGTGGTTTCCCTCATCTGCTGGGTGGGTCCTCGTCCTCCAGCAAGCTTTGGTCGCCTCTCTGCAGGCCGTTCAGACCCGCGGGAGGGCCGGGGTGCGGCTCCGTGGTGGGGCACCTGCCCGCCAGTCCCAGACGGAACCTCCTTAGGCTGTTGGAAGCCAGGCTCCCATGGCTAGCTCGGGCACAGCCCCATTTCCAGGTCTGCCACCTCCTTACTGCAGGACGCCTCTGCACTGTCCATGAGCTGTCCTGCAGCTTTCTCAGAGTGTAGCCGTAGAGTTGACACTGTAATTCCTATCACAGTGTCTGGTACCCAGGAGCTTGTGTCAATGTTTGCTGTTAGTCATGTCCCCCGGGCAACATTTTAGTCAGGGACAGACCATATGTATGATCGTAGTTCCCTCTGTGCCCCTTTGTGGTGTCGTTCGCACAAGTGCACTCTGACGTTTGCACAATGAAATCGTCAGCCTCTCAGAACCCGTCAGGAGACCTGTGACGTAACCATGTGACCAGATGTGTATACTGGCAGTGCTGGGGATTAGAACCCAGAGCCTAGCACGTCTGGGCAGGCACTCTACAACTGAGCAATACCCCCACCCATGACTAAATAACAGTAATAATAGTAATAACTATTATTATCATTGGTACCAGGGATCGAACTGAGGACCAGGCACCCCTGAGCTAAGTCCCTGGGCCTGTATGTTATCATTACTATTACCGTGACCTCCGCTTTGGGCAGCAGCAGGAAGAGATTACATTGAAAACAAAACCACGATAAAACAGTGCAACGCTTGTACACGCTAGATCAGCAGGGCCCAGAGGACAGGGTCTGTCCTCAGTCAGCGTCTGTGGGGTACGGCCAAGGTCAGGTGTTCCCATGGAGAACGCCGCGACAGGATCAGGGAGCGATGTTCTTGGGGTGTGGGCCGCAAGCACCCTGCACTCCTTCCAGCCTCACATGCTGGGAAGCAGTAAGGCGGAGGGGAGCAGCCACAGGACCACCCACCTCTGGAAAAGCGCAGTTCCCTGGGTCCGCCGGTGGGGTAGAGAGGCCCCTTCTGGCAAGCGCGGGCCAGCCTGGGAAGGGGCCCAAGGAGCCAGCGCCTGTGTCTGCCTCCTCGCTTCACTTTACCGGCAGTTTGTCTTCGTTTTCCTCCCTCCCCCTGCAGCTGCCTCAGCTTCGGAAAAGTTCTGAAGTCATGGAAAGTTGGGGGTGGGCTCCCAGCCAGGGGCCGGCCGGACAGCAGCCAAAACCTGAGCTGAGTTTTGACTTTATTTTTAGTTTTTAGGCTGAAACAGAGGAGAGTGACATTCTGGGGCCCTGGAAGGGCCTCTGCAGGAGACGCTGTTGCATTAGACAGCTTGTCTGTCCTTCTGCCCCCTTCCCCAGTGGAATGGAGGGTGACTCCTTGTCTGCAGTCTCCTGAGTCCCCAGCCATCCAGCCTCTCTCCTTGCGCTCACGGAGCTGAGGGCTTTGTGGCAGGAGAAGTGTTGGCAGGGCTGCGCTGCTCCTTCCTCCCTGGGGCTGGCTTTCCCGCCTGCCCACGTTTGGTTCTTTTTTCCATCTGCCTCGCCGAGCTTGTGTGGGGACTGATGCGTTACAGAGCAGCTAGGACCAGGCCCGGGATCTTTCCTGCCATTCCCTGGGTCTGTAGCCTTCCCTCCGCCAGTATTGTGAAAGGACTGTAATGTCAGCCTGGAGATCTTGGGTTCCCTGGAGGTTGTGAGAAACAGGACCCCTGTTTCTCCAGCTCGCTGGTGCAAGTGACCAGGGGCCCAAGGTGGTGCGGGAGGGCAGGGCATCCCAGCGACAGCCTTGCCAGTTTGAGGAGCCTGAGGGACTTGGAGGTCAGGGAGCCACACCTGGAGCTGGGGGACTGACTCAGCATTTCCTCGGGGCTTTGCAGGAGGCGGAGACCTCTCTGTGTGCCCAGGCCAGCAGATCCAGAGGGTCCCCAGGGGAAGGTCACTCCTTGCCTCACGGTCCTTGTCCCAGGTCTCTCCTGGAGCTCTGACCAGACGTTCCTTCCCCACTGAGTAATGGGGTAGAAGGGGGCAGGAGTGGGACCCATAGCTTTGGGGCTCAGGCAGAGAAGGGGAGAAGCGCTAGGGGCACCAGACCCCCCAGGCCAGGGAGCCTGCTTGTTTGGCTCCTCACAGGAGGGAAGCCGCTGAATGGTGAGTGGGTGGAGCCCAGGGAGGAGAAGGTTAAGGCCCTGTGTGGGAAGGGGTGAGGACAAAGATGCCCCTGTCTTTTGGGAGGAATGGGAGGGGAGAGAGGGAAAAGCATTCCTATGCTGGGATCTAGCTTTGCCCTTAGCCCTGGGCACGTTCCTGAGCCCTGAGTCATGGGAAGGGTGGAGGACAGGAAGGGGGTTTGGGGGACCTGGGGGAGGTGGGAGCCCAGCCCCACAGGCAGGCAGATGCACAAACCTAAAACCAGGATGCCCCCTCCTGGCAGTTGCAGGGACAGCGGCCTCCTCTGAAACCCACTCTTGGTCTCTTCTTCAGCAACACCAAAAAGGAGGGTGACCTGCTGGCCGCCCAGGCCCGGCTCAAGGACTTGGAAGCTCTTCTCAACTCCAAGGAGGCTGCGCTGAGCACAGCCCTCAGTGAGAAGCGTACGCTAGAGGGCGAGCTGCACGACCTGCGGGGGCAGGTGGCCAAGGTAGGCACACGTGACCACTAGGTGCACTGGCTCCTCCCCACCTGTCCTTACCTCCGGTGACGTGCACCTGACCTACGTCTCTGCTGGGCATATCCTGCCTCAGCCTCCTTGGCTGCTTAGGGACCTAGCACAGGGAACTTCAGGTAACCAGAAAGCTGCGTCCATTTAACTGAGCTTTTACTGGGCCTGGATGCCTCCGGACAGCTTTTGCTCTCTGGAAGAAAGGAAAAGAGGAGCAGCCAGCGCTGCAGCCCTAAGGGAGCTGACAGGCAATCACCCGTGGTCTGGTGACCGTCTGCACGCCTGTGGTGGCCTGCGCTGACTTCTCCCGCTACCAGCAGGGCGCAGTCAGTCTCAGTGACATGGCCTCCCTTCCTGGGCCCCCTTCGCAAACCCGGTCACCCCTGCACACCATGGAGAGGCCCAGAAAGGCTGACTCTGGGCCAAGGCAGGGATGTGCACCCTAGCCGATCAGCCTGCGCTTTCTAAAATGAACACCTCAGCGCCTGGTATGGTGGTGCACACCTATGATTCCAGCACAGGGGAGGCTGAGCCAGGAGGCTGGCCTCAAGTTTGAGAGAAACCCTGTCTCCAAACCAACAAACAAACAAAACTAAGCATGGTGGCGCACACCTATGATTCCAGCACTTGGGAGGCTGAGGCAGGAGGATCACTGTGAGTTCAAGACCAGCCTGAACTACCTAGAGACCTTGTCTCAAAATAAATAAATAAATAAAGGCTGGGATGTAGCTCTGTAAAGACCCCAGGTTCAATCCCCAATAGCAAAACAAACAAAATAAATTTTTAGCAAGGTGTTCCCTTGCTCAGACAGTTTTAGAGCCTTTTTTTCTTCCCATACTAGGGATTGAACCCAAGACCTTTGCATTGGAGCTACATTCTCAGCCCATTTTTATTTTTTATTTTATTTTTATTTTTGGCACTGAGGATCAAACTTGGGTCCTTGCGCTTGTGAGGCAAGCGGCAGCACCACTGAGCTAAATCCGCAGCCCTTTATTTTTTATTCTGAGACAGGGTCATACTAAGTTGCTAAATTTCCTGGGCTGGGGTTGAACTTGTGATCTCCCTGTCTCAGCTTCCTGAGTTCTGGGATGACAGGTGCTCACCGCACCCGGGTTCCTTCAGGGCTCTGTTCAAGCAGAAGGCATCTCTTTCAGTCCTGCCCGGCACATGGGCAGCTGCATCTCCCCTGAGATGTCCCAGCCCACTTCATTCTCATCAGTGCTGGTCTCCTGGGACCGCAGCGGACACGCATGCCTCACTGCCCTGTGCCAGTGGGCACATCTCTGCCCCTCAGCCACACACAGGCCTCCCAGGCTCCACGGACCTGTCCCCGAGTGTCCACTTCCCGGAGGCCTTCCCAGACCCTGCAGCCCAGGCACACCGGCTCCTTCTCTCGGTGCCCTCTCTGCTCTGTGCGGGCCTCCTTCGTGGTGCTGCTGTGTGTCCAGGGAGGGCTTTGTCCGAGTTCCCGGCCAGAGTAGTTACTGTGTGCAGCTGCCCTGCTCTGAAGTAAGGGGGCCCAGGGACAGCGCTGCCCAGCTTCTCTCTCGAGCCCCCTGACCCCTCCCCCTCCCCTCAGCTGGAGGCCGCCCTGGGCGAGGCCAAGAAGCAACTTCAGGATGAGATGCTGCGGCGGGTGGATGCTGAGAACAGGCTGCAGACCCTGAAGGAGGAGCTGGATTTCCAGAAGAACATCTACAGTGAGGTAGCGGCTGGCGTCTGCAGGCCGCCCGGGCGGTGGGCGAGTGCGCCCCCTGCTGGTGCCCAGTGCCAGTGGGAAGCCCCGGTACAGCGGGCTGTGGGCTTCGGCAGGTGGGGAGCCCGGCCTGCAAGGAGCCCCTCCCGATGTGGTCTGTCCTTGTGCCAACCCTGCCAGGAGCTGCGTGAGACCAAGCGCCGCCACGAGACCCGGCTGGTGGAGATCGATAACGGCAAGCAGCGCGAGTTTGAGAGCCGCCTGGCCGATGCCCTGCAGGAGCTGCGGGCCCAGCATGAGGACCAGGTGGAGCAGTACAAGAAGGAGCTGGAGAAGACCTACTCTGCCAAGGTGCCGCACGGCCCCTGCCCACGCCCGGCTGCTGCCCTTCCCGTGCCACGGTCCTAAGCTGTGCTCTCCCTGCAGCTGGATAACGCCAGGCAGTCCGCGGAGAGGAACAGCAACCTGGTGGGGGCTGCGCACGAGGAGCTGCAGCAGTCCCGCATCCGCATCGACAGCCTGTCGGCCCAGCTGAGCCAGCTGCAGAAGCAGGTGCTGCCCGCGTCCAAGCTGCCTGGGGAAGAGGGCGCAGAACAGGCCCGGGAGAACCGGCTGTGCCTCCCTTCTAGGGCCGTCCCTGTCTCAAGTGAGATCAGGGTCCCCCGACTCCGCTCTGCCAGGCCCCTCTCAGGGTTCCCTGGCGGAAGCTCTTCCTCAGTGGAGGGAACGGGGCTGGGCTCAGAACAGGGGCTTTCATTCGACGCCGGGAAGGACTTGCGGTCCACACCCCAGGCTCAGAGCTAAGCCCGCAGGTGCCGGTAGCTCACCATACCCCACTTCCTCCACGCCAGCTGGCAGCCAAGGAGGCGAAGCTTCGGGACCTGGAGGACTCGCTGGCCCGGGAGCGCGACACCAGCCGCCGGCTGCTGGCTGACAAGGAGCGGGAGATGGCGGAGATGCGCGCCAGGATGCAGCAGCAGCTGGACGAGTACCAGGAGCTGCTGGACATCAAGCTGGCCCTGGACATGGAGATCCATGCCTACCGCAAGCTCCTGGAGGGCGAGGAGGAGAGGTGGGTGCTCCCGGGGGAGGTGGGACGGGCGGTGGGCGGCGCAGGGGGCAGCCTCCTTGACACAGCACCGCCCCCAGGCTCCGCCTGTCCCCCAGCCCCACGTCCCAGCGCAGCCGCGGCCGCACCTCCTCCCACTCGTCCCAGACACATGGCGCAGGGGGCAGCATCACCAAGAAGCGCAAGCTGGAGTCCACGGAGAGCCGTAGCAGCTTCTCGCAGCACGCGCGCACCAGCGGGCGCGTGGCTGTGGAGGAAGTGGACGAGGAGGGCAAGTTTGTGCGGCTGCGCAACAAGTCCAACGAGGTAGGCTGCCAGGCAGGGCGTGAGCAGAAACCACGGAGCCCCGGGCCTGGCTCCTGGACTCTGGCTGGGAACCTTGGGCAGGTGTTTCCGGACCTGTAACAGGGATAAGGAGCAGGCCCTAAGAGCCGGCGTGGGGTACATGTTTTGTGATTCCAGCACTCTGGGAGGCTGAGGCAGGAGGATGGCCAAGAGTGATCCCAGCCTGGGCAACTTGGCGACTTAGTGAGACCCTGTCTCAAACAAGCACTGGGATGCACCTCTGTAAAAAGCCCTGGATTCAGTCCCCAGTACTGCAAAAGGGGGGGAGGCGAAGTGAGTGATTGGGAAGAAGGAAAGAGGAGAGAAATCCTGGGGGAGCGGGGTGTGGGGAGGGAACCTCCGTGTGGACAGCGGTAGGTCTGCAGCACCCAGAGCAGCACCTCGAGCCTTCCTCTTGTCCCCGGGCAGGACCAGTCCATGGGCAACTGGCAGATCAAGCGCCAGAACGGAGAGGACCCCTTGCTGACCTACCGCTTCCCACCGAAGTTCACGCTGAAGGCTGGGCAGGTCGTGACGGTGAGTCTCGGCGTGCCCGGGGGACGGCTGGGGCTGAGGACCGCAGCGCAAGAGTGAGCACCCTCCTGATCCTCTCTCCCCAGATCTGGGCTTCAGGAGCCGGGGCCACGCACAGCCCGCCTACCGACCTGGTGTGGAAGGCGCAGAGCACCTGGGGCTGTGGCAACAGCCTGCGCACGGCTCTCATCAGCTCCACCGGCGA